TTTCAGGATGTTCGTGGCCATTTGCCTATTGATGGACTTGACCATTTACCAGGGTGATATCAACACGGCCTACCTGAATGCACCCTTGGGGATCAAGCAGTACTTGGACTCTCTAGATGGATATCCTTCTGAAACTGACGACATGGTATATGTTGTTCACAAGGCACTGTATGGTCTTAAACAGTCTGGTCGAGAGTGGAACACCGAAGTAAATGCGTGGTTTTTACGGTATGGGTTTAAGCGTTGCACTACAGAACCGTGTCTGTATTACTACGATTCAGGTTCTAAGTTCGTATTGGCACTACTCTACGTGGATGACATTCTGTGTGCAACCAAGAATGAATTGTTCAAGACGAAAATGTTTCGGAGTCTGGACGAGGTCTATGGAATGAAGGATCAAGGTCTACTTAGCACTTATTTGGGTGTTCAAGTAGAGAGAAGCGATGATGCGATTAAAATTCATCAGACGAAATACTGCGAAGACGTTATCAATCGTTTTAACTTTGGAGATGCGCACGCTAGCAGAATTCCGATGGAAACAAACATACGACTTGCTGTAAACGATACGGATACCGCGAGGGCCAAACGCATACCTGACAATGGCAAAGAATTTCCATATCGTGAGCTACTTGGCTCATTGATGTATCTGGCAACATGTACGAGGCCAGATCTTGCGTATGTGGTCGGACAGCTTAGTAGATACGTGCAAAGCCCAACACAACAACACATTGGCGCAGCCAAGAGAGTGTTAAGGTATCTGGTGGGTTCCAAGACTCATGGAATTGTGTTCCACGCAAACAATGATGGAAAATTAAAAAGTGATTTAACCGTTGAGGGATTTTGCGATGCGGACTGGGGAAACGACCCAGACACGAGGAAAAGCATTACTGGATATGTACATTGCTTGGCAGGAGGTGCGATATCGTGGGCGTCACGACGGCAGAGTATCGTGGCTCAATCTACGGCTGAGGCCGAATATGTAGCAGCTTGCGAGGCCTGTATGGAAGGGAGGGGTCTCATTCAGGTTCTAATCGAGATATTCCCAAGGTTGGTGTCGAAGTTTCGTCTCGGGATTGACAATAAAGCTGCCTTTGTGATGGCTACAAACCCGACCTACAGTCGCAGAACACGACACATTGAACTACGCTGGCACTACGTTCGAGATCAGTATGTGAAGAAAGCAGTAGAACTGTGGAAGGTAAAGACAGACGTGAATCCCTCAGACTTGATGACCAAGCCCCTGGCGAGTGCGCGTTTTGAGGCACTTATCACCATGATAGGGATGACCAAGAACGTTTTGCCGCAGTAACTACTGACGGAGGAGGGCGTGTTGGAAACTGGATGCAAGTCAACGGTGGACAATGAAGTAAAGGGTGGCGGTTGACAATACCTTTTCCAGGGAAGGTTTTATCTGGAAGGTATTTCGTAGAAGATTCCTCCTGACATGAAGACATGCATTGAGTAGACTCAGTCCAAAAGTTTCCCTCCAGTAAACAAGTTGTTTGTGAGTGCGTAGCCATTGTTTCCCTTTATCAATACTCTATTAAAAAAAACGATCAGTTGAAGGAAGATACTGGCAAAAAATTCTCTGATGAAAAAAATTGGAGGGGTAATATGCAGCGATTTGAAGGGTCCGATGACGCCGAAGGATCGTCTAGGCAATCGGTATTTGATTAACTATGTTGATCACGAGTCAAATAAATGCTGCGTGGTTTGATCCAAGACCAAGGAAGCTGCAGCCAAGATATTTGAGCATTTTTTAGCGTTCTTCGAGAAAATGTTCGATTGTGGGATTCACGATCTGCGTACGGATGTCGGCGGTGAATATCAGAGCGTTAATTTGTTTTGCAAGAAAACTGGGGTTGCGCGTCAAGTGTCTTAAGCTAAAAATAAGCTACAAATAGAATGGCAGAGCGCATGCACAGGACCATCTTGAACATGGCGAGGTGTATGGTATTCGCCTGTGGACTACCTTTGTAATTCTTGGAATATGCCTTGAAGTACGCTGCGTACATACTTAATAGGAGTCCGAGCCGCTCAAACCAAAATAGGACATCGCCTATCGAAGTGCTGACAAAGAAGGTTCCTGATCTAAGCTCCATCGTGGCATTTACATCGATATTTACAGCTTACAGGGTTCCATGCAAGAATTTGCTTCAGCAACGAGCACGATTCGGAGTGATTGTTGGTAAGAGTGACGAAGTACAATTATCGTGGATTTTGAATCAAGAAATAGTGGTCATTGTCACTCAGCATGTTAAAATAGCAAGATATTGACTGATGCAAAAAATTCACATATTTATCGTGGAATTGATGGGAAAATGGAGATGACATGTCCACATTATGAGGAGATGAAGCAACGAGTGCTTCGTCAGAGATTGTTGCTCGTAACAAGACTCATAAGAAGAAGAAGAAGACTAAATCCTGGCAGATACCGCGGTATGAAACACGCTCGATAACAAGTGTTTCGCTGGATGATGTCGTCAGAAGGAGATCAACACGACGGTAGTAAATCACATCATTCATCGTGATCCAAATGGCGAGGCTGTGAGAAGTCAAAAGTTGGATGAGTGGGTCAAAGCTATGGAAGAAAAGCTGTCTGCGTTAAGACGACTCGGTGTTTACGAAGTCACTAAATTCCCAAAAACATAAATGCCCTGCACAGTAAATGGGTATTTAGGACGAAGACTAATGCACAAGGAAACATTGAGCGTTTTTAGGCCCGACTTGTTGCTTGTGGAAACGAGCTAATGTTCGGAGTTGATTTCTTTCTAACTTTCGCTGCAGTCATGGATATAACGACAGTCAAGATAATTTGGCTTTGGCTTATTTGTAAAGTTCCTGCTCATCATGGCGATGTGCCTAATGCCTACGTGCTAGCTGAAACGAAAAGAGGATTGGACATATACCTGCGTGTACCAGCTGGAATGTTTTACGGATGAAGAGCTAACGAGATTTGAATCCAAGTCTGGCGACGAGCTTGTGCTCAAGTTGAAAAGGACTCCGTATAGTTTGACAGGCTGGGCGTTTGTGAAGCCAACTGCTTCGTGACAAGCTCACTGCAGCTTGGATTTTATTGATGCATCACGGACATGTCTCTTTAAAACATAGTTATCGATGAAGACACAATGCTTGTCGATGTTTACGTCGATAATCTTTTGGTAACATCGAATCGTGCGGATCTGATTGGGGACTTTTCAAATTATTTCACATCTGTTGATCAAGCGGCTTGGACGCGTTAGCAAATTTCTCGGTATGCGCATTGTAACGATGAATAATGGAGGTTGTGTTTTAAATCAACAAGAAGCGATTAACGACATTCTTGTAAGTGCCAATATGGAATTGATCAAAGGGGTACGCACACCAATTGGTGAAGATTGCTACCTATATCCTCTTGGACACGAAGATTTGCTACCGGTACACTCGAGTGAAGGTCAGCCGACTGTAAAGATTTTTCAGTTTTTTCTGGGTAGCCTGCTGTGGGCGGAACGCTGCACACGGCCAGATATTGCATTCTCTGTCCATAAAGCAACAAGACAAACACATCAGCCAACTGCTCGCAACTGGAATTTAGCGAAACGCATCCTACGTTACCAAAAGAGAACTTAAGCTTTCAAGATGCACATGTCCACTAATCATTTTGTAGTAAGCCCTTTAAGACTGTCATCGTATAGCGACGCTGATTTTGCAGCAGACAAATACGATTATAAGTCGTTGACAGGTACGATCACGATTTTATATGGAATAAGTATTACCTTAACCTGCATAAAAACAAGGTGGCGTATCATTGTCGACAATGGAAGCAGAATTTGTCGCCGCTTCAGACGCGGCTCGTGAGCTTCTTGAAGTCTGTAAATTGCTGCAGTAGTTGGGCATCGTAATTGTTACCCCCATGCCATTGATTGTTGACAATCAGGCTGCCATCAAGCATTTGGAGGGGGAGTCATCATCTGCGAAAACACATTGACGTTAACGTCAAGTTTTTAATTGTTTAAGTAAGACGAGGTATAATAATTCCACAATACGTACCTTCGGACGAAATGGTAGCTGACGTGTTGATGAAGGCGCTGGATTCGCACAAGCTGGACACTCTGCGTGCTCTTGTAAACTTGCATCAACCACAACACGACCGAGAAGGAGTGTTGGAAAATGGGTTTTTGTGGCTAACATGACATTGGAGGAGTTTTGGTGATGGGAAATTGTTCGGGGCTACGGCACCAGTGAAACGACCGCGCCGTATTGAAATGATTACGGTATAAGGAGGGGTAGGAGTACATGTAAGGAACAGTAATTTTTTAACATCTGCACTCAAAGGACGAGGTTGGTTTGTTTACACAAGGGTGTTTTTATAGATATATACGTAAGATCAGCTATTCGTGCCAATATAATATTCTTATGTGTGCTAGCCTTAGATGCCGGGTCTGCCGAGAGATAGTGCACAAAGCCCGAGCGTTCCTTATAAATCCTAGTAACCTCAGCAGTAACAGCAATAACACAATTTATTCAATTTTGATACTGTAACGGGGTGAACCGTTACATAACAATTTATTAGAAATTGTGAATAGAATATAACTATAAGAGTTATATTCTCAGAATATTGTCATAAGGACGAATATTCTGTAGCACTTACGAGTAGTTCCTAATTGGTTGATATAGGCCATTATATCAACCAACGAAGACTCGCCACGACAGACGCACGCAATGAGTGGTGAGCAGATAGTTGATTTACACATTTGTATTCAGACATAGTTAGATGAAGATAAATAGTGATTTATCGCAGACAACTATACTAAATACAGCTCTACTTTTTACTTTAACCAAGTACTCGCTTCTTCTTACCGTCTTCCTCTGCACGTACGAGTGTACGTGAAGTTACGAGGCACCGCCTTATTCTGTCATCAGAATAAGTAGCTTGTACTGTCACCAGTACAAGCTTCAGGGTGCCCCGTTACACCTGGTAGCACTTCGTAGTCCGTCCAAGGACCGCGTTCACATCCAACATGAAAATGTTGGATGATGAAGATGACCAAAGCTTTCATGCTACGCGTGACAGCTGCTCCCATTTGAGCGATGTCGAATGGGATGCGGTTGAACGAATGGGTTCAACCATGGGCATCCATGCTGTTAGCGTCATGCTAGAGGCTCTCAATAGAGATGCCCAACATGCTACTATCGCCAAGTCCATTCAAAATGAACTTGACGCTGAACGCGAGAAAGTAGCCTTGCTTCACCAACAAGGTTCTCAACAAGCAGAGTTCTTGAGAGAACAGGGTGCTCAACAGTTTGAACTGTTGAGACAGCAGCAGCAGGCTGCTGCTGGTGGGTCGATGCACTCGCGTCGACCCGAAACCTTGAAGATTGACATCTTCAAGTATAGGGGAGTCGAAGAGGACTCCCTCTTGAGATAGTTCGTCGACCTAGACGACGCCATAAGGGCGCGTCGCATCGGCAACGGGGATATGCAAGTTGCATTTGCTCAATCAAATCTGGCAGGACGTGCCAAGACTTGGGCTTTGGGACTCAAGTTGCACGACCCATATGCGTTTGGGTCGTTGGAAGTCTTCAAGTCGCGGCTCAGACAAACGTTTGAACCGCCTAGAGCTGAGTTCAGAGCTCGAACTGAACTCTTGAAGCTCAAACAAGGTAAGCGTGATGTGCACGCTTACGCGCAACATGTACGACATCTTACGAGTTGTATAAGTTCCAATCCGGTGGATGAACACACGTTGGTTTCGGTGTTCATGCAGGGTCTTGCGGATGGTCCCGTCAAGACTCACCTGTTCCGACTTGAACTAGATTCACTAGAACAAGCCATATTTATTGCGGAACAGGAAGACTTCAGTCTGAGACAGGCTCGCGCCAGCTCGACATCGTATCTTCAACCGAGACGATATGACAACGGAGGTCCAGAGCCGATGGAACTCTGTTATGTAGAGAGCGAGAAGGCTCGCTCTACAGACTACAAGAAGTTGCAGAAATGCAACCGATGTCAGAAGACAGGACACTACGCTTACGAGTGTAGTGCCCCTCGTCCAGTGTCTCGCGACAATGGGCGTAGTGACCGTCCACCCATGAGAAAGGGGCAGGGACGCGGGTCCGCTGTTGGTGCAAAGATGCAACAACGAGATGGACCGTCAAAAAACGGACAGGATCAGTAGGTGCGGAGCACCCTACTTGTCCAGCAACGTCAAGAGAATTTGTAGGCCTCTTGATGAAGGTTGCTCCCAACACACATACGTTGTGCGTTGCTGCTCTAGGTGATGAGATCTCACTCATTACCTTGAAACTCGAAGTGACGAATAAGTTGTCCCTTCGAGCTCTAGTCGATCGTGGGGCGTCCAACAATTTTGTGCGACGCCAATCGCTAGAAGATGGTCACTTTAAGTTCAGTGAAAGTGACACACCTCCTACGAGGATGACGGTTCGTCTTGCGATAGGCGCATCCGTAACCGTCATGAAGCGTATAGTGAAGATCCACTATACGCTAGAAGATACCCAATATGACGATGACTTTATCGTATTGGATTTGGATGACAAATTTGATGTCATCCTTGGAATACCGTGGCTCAGAAGGTACGAACCACGGGTTAACTGGCAACATCGGACAGCAACGATGCCTGCCGCTTGTTCATCAGATGGCCATCTGATGAACGTTTTGGAGCGTCCACAAGCGTGTGGATGTACTACGAGTGAGTGCGATGGCCTCACTTGTGGTACGGTCGTTAGTACGACTGCACAAAACCTTAGTGTACCAAACGGTTACACTTCGGAGCAAAGTTCCGGCGGCTGTGAGGAAAAACAGGCTGCGCCGAAGGTCCACCACTCGAATAAGTCGGGTGGACTGGGACAAAGATGTATCCCTAGCGGGAAACATCTAGGAGAGAACCAATCGATCGCTCAGGTTAAGCGAAACGATAATCCTAGATCGACTGGAGAGTCTTTCGTAGAGGATCTCGCTGTGGTTGCGCAACCCCAGCTAGAGGAAGTTAAGGAAATAAGTCCCGATATTACAAATACGGCGGAAATAAGTTCCCCGAAACCCGCGGGAATAAGTCCCCGGGAAGCCGAAGGAATAAGTCCTTCGAAGCCTGAGGGAATAAGTCCCCAGGAAATGACAGAGACATTGAATGTCATAGTCAATAACGGATCAAGTGTAGGCGCTTATACACTTGATCTGATTGCGCCTCCGAAGTTAACTTCGGAGATCACTCAGTTGCCAACGCTCGAACATAAAAGGTTCTTGCGTGATCTGCGTAGTGGCAAAGTCAAGCAGATCTGCATACTCGTCGCTGACGACGAGTGTGTAACCGACATAAGGTCAGCAACAGTGTTCACTGAGACCGAGAGAGTTCTCAGTAGTTTATCTATGGACGAGAGTGTCCTAGATGAAAAGACACGAGTGGGGCGGTATGACTCCCAATCGTGGGAATCGCTCAAGACAAATCATCTCTTTAAAGATTTGGTTGAATTCAAGGATGTAATCCCTGAAACTGTTCCGTGCGAATTACCGAAGGATAAGGGTACTCGACACGAGGTCGAGCTTAAACCAGGCTCGAAGTACTGTGTCATGAAGCAGTGGCCACTGCCTCGTGAACATGTACTTGCGATCGACAAGTTCTTTGCCGATCGTTTAGCTGCGGGCCATGTGAGGAATCGACTTCCCCAACTAGCTCTCCGACCTTCTGTGTGCGAAAAGCAACAGGAGGGTGGCGGATTGTGCATGCATTAAACAAATTGAACGCTGCAACGGTACCGGCTCAGACGCCGATACCGAGGAAGGACGTAATCATTGATGGTATGTCAAAGAGTACCATCTTTTCGTCCATGGATTTGATGGATGGCTTCTATCAAATCCTTATGCGGGAACGGGATATACCCTATACCGCAGTCAGCACGCCTAGCGGCATGCTCTGGGAATGGCTAGTAATGCCACAAGGGCTTAGTAATGGCCCTGCCACGTTCAACATATGTGTATCACATCTGTTGAGACCAGTACGAGAACTTGCGCCGAGTTATTTTGACGACGTCTTCATTCATAGTCAGGCTCATGGATGGAAAGTCGGACGTTGCGGTTCACAGATACCACGTCCGACAGGTTCTTACAATCATGCGAAAGCATCAATTGTATGCAAACCTCAAGAAGTGTATATTTGCAGCAAGCGAAATACCACTTCTTGGGTGCATCGTTGGTAAGAACGGTGTACGTCCTGATCCCGAAAAGATCAAGGCGATCACCGACTGGCCTGTGCCGGTTGATGTCAAAGGTCTTCGAAAATTCCTTGGGCTAGCGGCGTATTTGCATAAGTGTTCACGCAATTACGCCAAGATGACTGTGCACCTCTCTCGTTTGTTGAAAAAGAACGAGAGGTGGCTATTGAACGCTGAATGTCAGCGCTCCTTTGATGGTATCAAGCAGAGCTTGATACAATCCCCAGTCCTAACAATAGCCGATCAAGACAGGCCATTTCATGTGGTCTGTGATGCCAGCGATTTCGCAATCGGCTGTGCATTAATGCAGTACGATCTTGAAGGCGTTGAACGCGTCGTCTGCTATCAGTCGCGTCAGCTGCAACCAGCTGAGTGGAACTATCCAGTGCATGACAAGGAACTCCTTGCCATGAAGTATGCACTCGCGAAGTTCAGAGTCTATCTATTAGGAGATAGACCCTTCATTGTTTACACTGACCATGCGTCATTACGCACGGCAGTGAACAGCCCGCACCTTTTACAACGAATGGCGCGGTGGTTGTCATTCTTTGCAGAATACAACTTTACGGTCGAGTACAAACCAGGACGACTTAATGTCGTCGCTGATGCACTCTCACGTCGTCCCGAATTTGAACCAGTCGCGAAACCCAACATTGAGACAGTCACTGTTGCGGTTATGACGTCCTCAGTACCATCTTCAGCGTTACATGATGATGTGAGGCGGGCATGTGCCCAAGATGGTGAGATTGTGAAGTTGTTGACACATCTCTCACAACCATCCCGAGAATCGTTGTAATGATTGTCGTCTGCGTATCGATCTGCATCAGATCGATACACTAGTCATAACGGTTTACTGAATTATACAGCCGTTTCTGGTGACACGCCACGTGTTGTCATTCCAGATGATACTGATCTGCGTTTGCGGATCATGTTCGAGTATCACGATGCTCCTATAGGAGGACATCGTGGCCGGGAAAAAACATATCTCACGGTGAGTCGAGACTTTTACTGGCCCCACCAGTATCAGTTTGTGCGAAAGTATGTTCGCGCATGCGAAGTCTGTCAACAAGTGAAGTCAAGTCCTTCACTGCGTGCACGTTTACAGCCTCTACCGGTTTCGGCTGAGTGCTGGGAATCCATCTCAATGGATTTCGTCTTCGGGTTACCCAAAGACGCACGCGGAAATACGGGTATTCTCGTATTTGTTGACAGATTCAGCAAAATGGTACACCTAGTGGCTGTACCAGAGTCAATCACGGCAAGTGGCTGTGCTTGTGTCTTTATTGACACCATCTTCCGACTTCATGGATTGCCCCGTGAACTCGTATCAGACAGAGATCCACGATTCACTGCTGATTTCTGGCGTTCCGTGTTCAAATCACTCGGAACGCGCTTGAAGATGTCGACATCTGATCATCCGGAGTCAGATGGTCAGACGGAACGTGCCAATCGTGTCCTTGAAGAGATACTTCGACGATACGTACACTCCTTTAAGAGTTGGAGTGAGTTTTTGCCAATGGTAGAGTTTGCCATCAACAATTCGGTGCATGCGTCCACGACACATACACCGTTTTACGTGAATGGCTTGCGCCATCCGCGTGTACCCACCTTACTAGAGTGTAACTCTGGTTTAAGGGAGGAGAGACTCGCGCGAGCAAAAACCGATTTGGTTCAAGCTCATCACGCTCTGACGAAGAGGTCATTGCGTTTGATGCCGATATCGATAACATCGATATCGAAGAAGATGATGCCAGTGAGAGTGCGGAAGCCCTCACTGAAGAAAAGATTGATGTCGCTGCAGTGCACTCACAGCGCACTGAAGCTAACGAGTCATCAGATGAGTTCAAACTGGCTCGTGAAACGGTAGTCCGTTTTGTGCAAGACTCCATCGCCGAAGCGGTGGATAAGCACAAGCAAAACGCTGATAAGAATGGAAGAGCAAACACTCTTTTATTCAATAAAGGTGACTTAGTCCTACTGTCTACGGTTAATCTACCAAAGCATGTAGTCACTAACTTGGGTAGCAGTAAACTACTACCCAAGTACATCGGCCCATTTCGTGTATTGCACCGCCTAGGCAATGCATACACGATCGAGTTACCACGTAAGATGCGAAAAGCATCCCACGTTTTACGTTGGTCGGCTTATGCCGTACCATCAGTACGCTGCTTCTTCCGATAAAGAACGTCCTTGCGCTCAAGCATCTCGCAGAGAGCCTTGTGCTCCCGATGGTGGGCATCAACAAGGGTCTGAAGAGCAGCTATCTCATCCCGAGACCGATCAACAATCCCACGAGCTACCCTTAGCTCGTCACGAAGAGATGTCAGAGATCTCTCGTTCTCAAGCTGAGCAAAGGCAAACTCAGCTCGATGCTTCGAGGCAGTGTCCGCCATTTAGAGACGCCTATTCCGCTTATGTTCGAGATCGTCGCGTAACCCTTGCGTTACGCGATCAAAGAAGCTCTCGGGAACACACCGATCCACATGATCGTGTGGAGAGCGTCTTTCCTCCTCCTCCACCTCCATTAGAGAACTCTCGCGGTGGCCAGCGCTATCTAGTTGAGCAGCTGTTGAACCACCGCGACGTGAACGGACGTCGGACGAGTTATCTCGTCCGGTGGCGCGGCTATCCCCCGTCCTGGGATACTTGGGAGCCCCGCTCCCAACTGATGGTTGACGTACTGGGTCTGGTTGAGCAGTACGACGCGGCACATCCTGTGCCGCAGAAGGACCGCCGGAGAAAGTCTTCCCGGCACGGTCGTAAAGGAATTTCAGATTGTCAATCCCTTCGTACATCTCAATAGAGATACGTACGCGCCACCATGGGCTATTAGGGAGGTAAGCCTCCTTAGGTGCTCGTGCAGAGTTGTTCACACAACACGGACACGAGTCTCCCCAGGAGAGACAGGGTAATCCCTTCTCCCTTGACAGACGATGCAGCTTGAAGCGTGCACCTGTCGGGGTTCGCTTTTCGAACTTATCACGAGCTTTGATAAGTTTGTCATTCCAAGCGTCACGACCTACATCCTCAAGGTTATGGATGTAAGCGTTCCACGCCTGAAGCAGTGAGGGACCATCACGCTTGTGATTCCCACTGTACCATCGATGTCTAAAGAAAGCATCGATGAAGAATTCATTCTCAGCGCGATAGTTTTTCGCGCTATGGTCAAGGTGATGGATCCTTGACGAATCGAACAACCGTGTTCGATAACGATCACTCGTCGTCGCCGACAAGTGATCCATGACAGATTTTGGAGGCATGCCTGCTTCTCAGGAGCGAGACGCAAGACATTGCGGTCCCGCTCTTCCTGCGACGTGCCGACAGAAGTACTGGCACCTCGTTGCGAATTGGTGTCCATAGGAGAACCGACACCACTGTTAGCGCCCGAGTCTCGCGATCTCGAGCGCCTTCGCTTCGGCGATGGTTCATCTGATTTATCAGATGAACCAAAGATGCTGCGACACAAAGCATCGTCCATGCCACGCTTGGCAGGCGGCTTGAATTCAATCGCCGTTGATACGGATCCGTCTTCCGTATCAGGAGAGTACGAGACACCGAGCTCGTACTCTGTGAAGACATGAGTGTCTTCATGACCAGCGCCTGCATCACCAAGTGACACAGGCTGGGTCGCTTCAGCAACCGATGAGACATCAGTTGCTGTGGTTTCTGCTTCGGCGTCCGCACAGAGACGTGCGGACGCGCTCTCGGCGGCCTTGCTCGCGTATCGCATGGGCTTGTTAACCATGCGATGAGATGTTGGAAAGTGGACTCGGACCAACAAGTGCAAACCCTGTCCCAAATGATTTGGGACGAGTATCCATTTAGTCAATCAGTCACTAAAGTGACTGATGGTTAAGGGGGGTGATGTAACGGGGTGAATCGTTACATAACAATTTATAAGAAATTGTTAATAGAATGTAACTATAAGAGTTATATTCTCAGAATATTGTCATAAGGACAAATATTCTGTAGCACTTACGAGTAGTTCCTAATTGGTTGATATAGGCCATTATATCAACCAACGAAGACGCGCCACGACAGACGCACGCAATGAGTGGTGAGCAGATAGTTGATTTACACATTTGTATTTAGACATAGTTAGATGAAGATAAATAGTGATTTATTGCAGACATTAACTATACTAAATACAGTTCTACTTTTTACTCTAACCAAGTACTCGCTTCTTCTTACCGTCTTCCTCTGCACGTACGAGTGTACGTGAATTTACGAGGCACCGCCTTATTCTGTCATCAGAATAAGTAGCTTGTACTGTCACCAGTACAAGCTTCAGGGTGCCCCGTTACGGATACAAATTTAGCTGCTTATCGTCGATAAAGTTGTTCTATTGACAGACGCGCTCCTGTTGTAGCAGTGCTAATAGTCCAGTACTTGGACTGGACCGGATCAATAGGATACCAAAACTAAATCAATAGACAGCCCAGGAATGATCCGTATTAGCCTTGTCAGTATTGTCTTCAGCGTGCAGCAATTAACATAGCCTCTTTAGCTGGTATCCAAATGCAGTTACATCTCAGCGACTCCAGCTTTGACTCGCAATATCACAACCACTAATATCAAAAGCTCAAGTTTTTGTGCTGCCTCAAATATCGAACGTAGTCATCTATCAAAAGCACATTTGACAACACCACAGGCATCATCAGATTAATAACTTGTACACTAGTCATAATTTTTCCAAAGAGTAATACCTTTTTAGGGAATAGCTCTTCGGCTGCAAAGGGTTTGAATGCCTCAGAAGTAACACGTAGCTAGCACGTGGCGAAAGTAGAATCACCTTTGCTGACATAATATTCTCAGCTAGCTATATTTTAGCTCAGCAAGATTATTCATAAAATAAGTCGCAGGTGCATATCGGTCCAACAACCACTTGATCACACCACCCCCCCCTTCTCTCTTTATTGTCATTCTTCTCAAGATCCGTCACTTTTGGTATGTGACGCAGTTTTATTGCAGCCTAATCAGCCTTCAGTACACGTAGTTTCTCCTCATCTTCATAATGCTCTTCTCCATGTCCATCACCAATGGTATGCGACGCAGTTTAATTGCAACTTCATCAACATGCAATGATTATACTATTCCTATCGCGTTCATTATGCTTCGCTTTTCCCGGCCCATCACTTCCGTTCAATGACGCGGTTGTCTCTCAACCCGATCGAATCTCGACTTTCATTCCAGTTCCTGTTTAGCTCCTTGCAGCATGCCCTCATTATAATTGACTGTTTAAATAGCAAAAATGAACACCGTCTGATCCCTCTGGTGCATGCTCGTTGCATTCTTTGCAGTAAAGAACATTGGGTGTAGCGGAGAGGCCTAGTGCTCCTGAACAGTAGAAGTCTTAGGATCAAAGAGTCTCTTAGTCAAAATAACTAACAACGACGTACAGTCGTTTGAGAGATTTATGCCGCGCGGTCCTTCAGATCACCCTGGGGAAATTTGCGAGTACTCTGACTCAGTTTGAACTCCTTACAGGACCCGCACCCCTCATTACACTATGGGACTTTTTGGCTTGTAGGGCCTCCGGACGGCACCAGCCACTCATTAGTGGTTACTCGTCTACATTATTAGCCTATCTCCGGCGCCCTGTAATCGAACCCCCATCGGGTATCGATCCAGGTACCTCCCGGTCCCAGTTCCAGTGGTCTACCACTCGGCCACTGGGGTCGGTATTCAGTCGTTTGAGCGTACACACTTAAATGTACCAGTTCTAAAGAAATTACGATTCAATGAGTCACCCACTAACCAGTCACTACTAGTTAAACGAGGGTAAGTAACTTTACAAGGCTAATACTCCTAATAACACTAAGCCTTTACTAGACACTTGTGTACAACGATTCAAAAGGAAAACTGAGCTTTCTGTATTATATAACTACGGTAATTAAATTATTTAACTTTTTCTGACTGAGTTCTACGTTACGATCTTATGACAAAAATCTGGTTTCTTATCCTTACTCGACAAGGTGCGGTCTTATCGTAAACACGTAGTACCAATACTGTACCACTCGGATCCACCTCTCTTTGCTTGGTATAGACGCACGACATAACCGGTTCTAATAACCGCGCGTTACACCGTTACACCTTTCCCAACCAAACTGTCGACACCCTTGTGTCGACAATTCCTCTTCTTCACTTTGAGGTCAGTTAAGGCTCTGGTCCTCATTTTTACAACACATCCCAAAATGACTGAGTCAAAGCCTGCATCCAACACCCCGAAAGAATTCCTCGAAGTGGATATCGTGGATTACGAGAGTGACACTGCTTCCTCGAGTATCTGCGATCATCTTCCAGCTACTCCGCCGGTGCGTGGCACTGCGTGCATCGAGCTTCATCCATTCGTGGAACGCGTAAAAGTACCTACACCCCTTGCACATCGTGCAGCCGTCTACCCTGCGTCGGGTGTGTTGCACAACAAATTAAATTGTGAAGATCAAGCTCAATATTTTCAGCTGGTCGATGACCGCAGGCGTCAAGCACAATGCGTAGCCTCAGCGTATGCATACAGTGGTTACCGCTTGACACAACCGAGTGTGGATAAACGCGTTCATCAGACTGCCGGTCATTCAGTGGCCACATGGGTCACAAGACCTAACTAAGGCTAACACAGCCACAGCACTAGCGGAGAGAGAGGCTTTCAGAGCGAGATACCTGAAAGTTGAGTGTTTGATTGTTCAAGATTATCTCGACAGGCTGTATCAGCATACACGAGGTGGTGCGTCAGTTTCCGCCTGCAGATAATACCCTTCGTTCTCTTCCCTGGTGGGAAGGAGGCAGAAAATCATGTCGTCTTCACGCGTTAAGCTCATAGAGCTCGCCGCCTGCCAAGCCTGTAAAATCGCCAAGCGAGCGCTTTACTTGCTGACCATCGGCTTGAACGAAAGCTGCACTTTGATTTTTGCAAAACAAAAGGACAAAGGACAACTGCGACCGTTCTATCGCACCCGCGATGCTGCGGCAGTTACGGACTCGCACATCAGTGCACCTGCTGCAGCTGCAGCCCCCTGCACTCAGTCAACGACTAGTGGAAAGCGGTATGGATTGGCTGACCCAGAAGATATTCAAAAACGTCAACGGCATACGGACAGTTCTGCCGCAGTGGCACTTTTTACTTCCATGAATTCTCAAACTTCGAGAAACCCCGTCACTGCACGGATTACTGGTACTGACCGTTGCGACGACGTCGCTGCAGGATTCGTTCAACATGGTACTGTTGGTCCCCTTCTCGTCAAGATGGGTAGGCGGTGATAGGTGAATCTCGACGCGTCGTAGAAGTTACAAATACGTTGCAGTTCAAAAAGCACGAGTGCGCGAGGCGCTTGGTCTTCTTGACCGCGTGGCGTGTCTTGAAAGACAGCTGGATCTTCTCGTGAGGAGCCCTCGACTTGTGGCAGCGCCAACTCCTCCGGCGCAAGCGCCTCGTAGAACACCAAAAACGGATCAAGATAAGGCTTAAACAAGCCGAAGTAAACATTGGGTGTGTCCGCATCTTTCGTGAAAGGTTGATCGTATGTGCTAGGCATTTCTTGGCCACAACCGTAGACGACTCAATCAAGCGAAGACGTCACTAGGTCCTACAAACCGCTGACACCACCTTGGTAGGTATATGTTTAGCGCTTAAGTAAGACTAGGTTATAACTCTCATTACACTTTATGCCTTTGAAATTATCGTGTTCCTATTGTTTGTCCTAGCTATCACCCATTTCATCATGTACATGTCGTAAGACATTCAATCGCGTATCGAAAAACTCGCTCAACTAGTCCCGAAAAGTATAAGGGCTGCCATCAGCAAGCCACTCATCTATTCCTCCCCCAAGAAGCCCAAAACCAAATAGTGGAATCGGTGAAGAAATACGTGGGCGAGGGAGACCATTCACGTAGAATGGAGTGGAGCCAGTAGATGCATGACCAGCGTTATTTAACGCAACCTATACCACAGGGAGCATAAAGATCCAACTCCTAGGTTTATCAGCACAAACACTGCGCAAAATATCACCAGTGACCCGGTTGGCACGCTCAGTTTGGCCATCAATATGCGGATGATCCGATGTGGACATGTTCAACCTGGTACCTAGCGCCTTGAAAATGGAAGTCTAAAAATTGCCAGTGAAACGCAGATTACGATCAGCGACAATTGCTATAGGCAGACCGTGTTGACAAAACACACGGTCGATAAACAGCTTTGCTGTACCTCTACCATCGATGCAATCAGGCACAGCCGCTAAATGAGCCATCTTGCTCAAACGGCCAACAAAGACCGCGATACCAGTGTTACCTTCCGAATCCATCGGTAGGCCAAACACAAAGTCCATACTGATAGAATCCCAACACCCAGTAGGTAAGGGCAAAAATAGCAAGCGGTGCAACCGCATGTGCTGAGGGATTGACCTGTTGACATGCACGCACATGTGCTCACCCATTTATACAATTTAGGCCACCAATAATTTTGGCAAACTGAGCTACATGTCATCTCACGATCGAGATGACCGCTCAAACCAGTGTCATGTGCCTCAAAGAGGATGCGATACTTCAAGTCCTCTTTATGAGGAACAATTATGCAAGGCACATCCTCAACACCCGTGCAGTAGCACAACAACCCACCATTGATGACGTATCGATGTAGGCTCGCACAAAAATGTGACGACAATCTAATACCCGAGTCTTTAAAATCCTCGCATCCAAGAGCATTTATCAATGCTAAAAAATTCTCATCACGTGCAT